CACAGCAAATTGCACTGGATTTTTCTACACTAATTACCTATTATGGAAGACCAAAGAATTATAACAAATAATTTTCCATGGCAGCAGATAGAGTGCAGATGTTGTAAGGGGAAGAATGAAGAGTTTATGGAGTGTAAAATCAGACAAAAGAGATTCACAAAGTCCCAATTTTTAAAAATAACACAGAATTAATTCTTTTTTTACTACACAGATGATGAAGGTGAGGGAATTTTCCCAGGGCTAGAGGGCCAATTGTAAATTTAGGTTGGACTGGAAGTGAGAGAAATTGCAAAGCAAAAGCTAAGTGCTACAGTCTTAATTTATTCAATGCACGTGAATTTCTTGTAGGCAGAGATCACATCTGAGCTTCTTCTCTTTTAATTTCTCACATCACATTGCACCTAGTTGTTGATTGGTTTCCTTGTGAAGCATGTACGTACACCATGCCAGACAGCTATTTTTACACTCAAACCTTTGTTTTTACGTCACTTTCACCTCACATTCGTTGGCCCCCAAAATTCTTTGCACTATATTAAGTCTTGCTCTCCAAGAGCTGATTGAACACCCCTAAAAAGTCAAGTCATGCCACTTCCCTTTACAGCATTTTGTCAATTTCCCTGAAAAACAGCTTTCCTACCTCACTGGAAATTGTCAGTGCCGCTGAGAGGACACTTCCACACAGGCAATATTTCAATTAAAAAAAAAAAAGTACAGGCAGGAATATTTTGGCAATTATTTACCATATTAAATTGTTTCATCCCTTTCATAAAATAAAAGCATGCATTCCCACAGAGTAACACCTGGTTGATAAAGGTCACAGTCTCCATATTATGAATGTCGTATTATAGAAATAGCCTATGAATATGAAATTATATACCTGCAAAGGTGTAGTTCTTAATCTCCTCTTAGAGTACTGTCCAGACAACAAAAACCCCTTTGAATTTGAAGAACAGAAAAAGTAACTTCTAGATGCCACTGTGCTAACAACGGAAGGGGCATTTTCTTATTTTAATAGTGGACTGAACAGACAAGAGTTAGAAGGCTCAAAGTCCACTATTTTTTACTGAAATAAAGACGCATCCCCCTCCTCAAAATAAACCAATCAAATATAACTTGGATCAATTGTAACTTTGTTCTATAACTATCTCCTCTTACTTCCCCATCAGTGCCTGCCCGGCCTGTTTGAAGAATTCCGTCTAGAAGTTAGGAAGCAAGCAGGCTGGCTGGTTCGGTGTCCTTACACGGAGGGGAACAAGACGCTTCCTGTATCAAAGCTCTCATTTCCTTAGTTATGACTTTCTGCCTCGGGCATTTCCCTCCTTCTGTCATGACCCAGTGTTAACACAACATGTCGTTCCCAGTGTGGGGTCCTCAAAGGTCACCATATAAGTGTCCAGGTTATTAATGACATACCCAAAAGGCTGATGAAAACTACGTGGTTATTGGGATCAGCAGTTAGCATAACGGCTATGTCGCTGAACTCCCACGTAGTCGACTGCAGTTCGAGTCCTGGACCCGGTGGCTTAAACTCACGCCGGGTGTGTGTGCGTGCATGCCCAAGATCCCGAGAGGAGGATGGAGGAGAAGGGACTGAGACATGACCATCCACCCTGGGGTGTGATTTCTTGCTTTCTGTCTCTCTGTCTCTCTCTGTCTGTCTGGCGAGCATACACGCCCTATAGCAAAAACCTCTCCAAAAAATAAAAAATAAATTAAAAATTTAAAAAAAGGAAAAAAAACTACGTGGTTATTTATCTGCATAAGGTCATACTGGTTAGCAAAAATACTCTTCTTTTTCTTTATTTTAGTTTTTGCAATAAGACACATACAACACTTATCAGAGAGAGAGAGAGAGAGAGAATGAGAAATCAACCCCCAGAGAGGAGAGCCACATCACAATCCCTTCTTTTCTTTTTTTTTTTTTGGAGAAGCTTTTGCTATAGGGTGTGTGCTCTCGACAGAGAGACAGAAAGCGAGAAATCACCCCCCCCAGGGGGGATGGCCACACTGCAATCCCTTCTCCTCTTGGGATCTTGGGCACACACGCACACACACTCGGCGTGAGATTAAGCCACCGGGTCTGGGACTTGAACCTCGACTACATGGGAGTCCAGCGACCTAGCCATTATGCAAACTGCTGGTCCCTCAATCCCTTCTTTTCCACGCTCCTCTTGGGGGTTTTGGGCATGCATGCAAATGCATCATGATTTTCAAGCCACTAGGTCCAAGATTCAAACCATACAGTCGGCCATGTGGGATCCAGCGCCTTAGCCACCAGGCCAGTTACTGGCCCTCTGTTTTATTTTCTAATGTGCACAAAAGAACATGTACACAGAAGGGGCAAAAAGAAAGGGAGAGAAAAAGAGGTATTTTCGACAGGGTCTCACCATGGTGCTGTCCTGCCTCAGCCTCCGGTTACACACCGGGCCTGCTGAGGTTGGGCCAAAAATGAACCCAGGCCTCCCGTGTGGCCTCAGTGGCCTTGGCCCCTGCACAGCGACACGTTCCCACGAGCACCACCACAGCTGGGCATCATCCTTCCCTTTCAACCAGACTTTAATCGACTCACTGTGCTTCAAAATAAGTAAACCCTTACCTAATACATCTGATGTGTCTTTGACAGGTAAAAATCATTTTATTTATTTATTTATTTATTTTGGAGAGGTTTTTGCTATAGGGCGTGTGCACTCGCCAGACAGAGACAGAGAGATAGAAAGCGAGAAATCACCCCCCGGGGGGATGGCCACGCCGCAATCCCTTCTCCTCCATTCTCCTCTTGGGATCTTGGGCATGCATGCACATGCACCTGGCATGAGTGTAAGCCGCCGGGTCCGGGACTCGAACCATGGTTGACTACGTGGGAGTCCAGCGACATAGTCATTACACTAACTGCCGGTCCTGGTAAAAATCATTTTAACAAGGAGTCAACTGCGATTAAAATTACAAAGGGATCCTGGTGGGTGTGAGTTAGTCACCCCTGGGTAAGGGAAAGCCATGCCTTATTTGCCAGTACAGGCCACTCGATGATGATGATGACAAAAATTAGAGAGCCTGAAGACTTCAATTTTGTAAGGTGGCATCTATGTGTTTTTCCTGTAAGCTTTTAAAGGCAAGTGCTTGCAGAAATTACATTTTGCTTTCATTAATTACTAAAGAACACTTTCTATAATCCATCATAAATATAGAATTGAAAGACGTTACTGGTATACACATCACTTTAATTTCCTCATTAAAACTTGTGTAAACATCTCTTAGAATAAAATTTTTTAAAGTACTCTCTCTGAATACTATGTTGATCTTCTAATTTAGTCTACAGTGACTTCTTTTTCTTTTTCTTTTTTTTAAGAGAGATTTTTGCTATAGGGTGAATGCACTCGCTGGAGAGATAGAGAGATAGTAAGTGAGAAATCACCCCCTGGGAGGATGGCCACACCACAATCCCTTCTCCTCCATTCTCCTCTTGGGATCTTGGGCACGCACGCACATACGCCTGGTGTAGAATTTTAAGCTGCTGGGTCCGGGACTCCAACCACAGATGACTATAGAGTCCATTAACGTAACCGTTAAGCCATAGGTTGGTTCTAGTCTAAAGTGATTTCTGAGCGATGGCTCAGAAATGTTTAAGCCTAGCCTTGTTTAGAAATGCAACAAGAAAGGTCAAATCATTTATTTCATTTGGTTATTTAAATCAAATATTGTGGTCACATTGTTACTCTGTCTTTAAAGACTTTATCAAAAAAGGGGGAAAATGAATAGTTCCTAAGCAGAATGCTCTATAACTCACATTCATTTCAGGTAGTATACCACATCACAGCAAAACAACAACAAAAAAGTGCATAGTCATATTTCATCTTCATGTGCTGTTGACAACTGTCATCAATTTGGAATCTAGTATGAGATGTGCTTTTCAAAACAAACTTCATTTTCCACCCAGATTTACTGTTCATGTGATTAGTCATTACCTCTTTGCTACGTCAATGACTAAACAATTTGCTTATTTAAAATTCTAATATTTAACAAATCCACTCCACGCATTTCAAAATGCAATGAAAGAATACTTTGGAATAAAATCAAAATGCAAACTGAAAGAATATGACCTAAAATAATTCACCCTATTCATGTAAGATCATTTTTATAGGCCAAGAAGGGTTCAAGTAAGAAATCTGATTCACAAAAGTAAACCTAAATCTTAAATATGAACAGGATATCTGACCCATTTGAATAGTCACCATATTTAATACTTTAATCATTGAAACAATTACTCTAAAAATTATTTTGAGATTTACTTTATCAAGTTTATTTTTGAACAGTTCAAAACTGACAAAAATATGAAAAGGCTTTTTAATCTTTTACATAAAAATTTTCTCTTGGGCCAGCCATGGAGTGCTATAGTTAAGGCAGCTGGATCCCACATGACCAACTTTAGTGGTCTGGGTCCCAGACCAGGCAGTCTGATGAACACACTGGGCACATGTGCCTACCTGTCCAAAATCTTGAGAGGAGACTGAAAGAGTAGGAATTGTGTGGCCATCCCCCATTAGGAGAGATTTCTCACTTTCCTTCTCTCTCTCTCTCTCTCTGGCAAGCACACACATCCCATAGCAAAACTAAAATAAAAAATTCTCTTTATATATTAAAAATTATAGCCTTTAAAGTAATTTTTGTCTTTGGTATATAATATTTTAGACAATAACACTGGTTTGTTCACCAAACTAAAATCCCTTGAACTAACCTGAAGGAGCCATTCCTCCCCTAACTAGAACAGACACACACAAATTCATCTGTTGGTACTTAATGAATGCCATTTATAATAAATTCAAGATTTTAAGATGATTATTTATGTCTTCTTCCTCCTAAAGTGATAGCTACAATTTCCAATACATGCAGTGAGCCACATCACTGAAAAAAAGCATCACGGATATTGAATTTATGACTGCCCAGTCTTAGATATAATTATGTACATGCACAGCTGCGTGTAGGTAGTACTGAGAAAGACTCACCTCTCCTTGCTTGGGGATGCTGAACTTGGACAGCTTGGCCTTGGCCCTGGCCGACTCTGGCTTGCTGGCTGGGACGCCCCGGTAGGATGGGCAATGCACACTGGTTTCTGTAGACGACTTAAGCTTAGGAGACTCATCAGGAGCCTGATCTTGGCCGTCCATGGGCCGCACGTATGCGGTTGGTTTCTGCTGGACCAGGCTGGGTTTGGAAGCCAGGGATGGAGGAAAGTTCTGAACACAGTGTCCTCCGCTGCTGTGTTTGGCCGCCATCGTGGGCGGCCGCTCCTGGGCCTGAAGGCCCACGTCTACACTGCACACTTGTTTGGCACGCGACGACTGCCGGCCCACACCATCTCCAAGCAAGGTCCTGAGAGAGCCCTGTTGTGCTGAGTTAGAAGAAGAACAAGAAGAGGAAGATGAGGATGAGGGGCTCAGCACACAGGGATCAGCTGTTCTATCATGGTTCTTTGGGTCAGCAGGTTTGTGCGAATCAAGTGACCTGTGCCCATGCTTACTTGCTCTCTGCTGGCCGTCAGGTGGTGGGTGCCCAGCCTTCTGCCAGCCCGCGGTGCCCCTCTTGCTCTGCTGCACAGGGACAGCTGCTGGTGTGGAAGATGCGGTGCTACAGACAGACGAGGGCTGGGGTTGGGCTCGCGAATCTGCAACAAAATGTTCATCGATCTTGTTCACAGGAGTCTGAGGAACCCCAGGTTTGGGAACGCCAACGAGATGACTCTGATTGGATCTATCAGTTAAAAAGTCTTTCATTTCATCATAATTGCCTAAGGTATTCTGGATCCGGTTGGAGAGCTCATCCCCTTTGTTAGTCTGGAGAAAGAAGAACACATCCATGCTCTTGTTAGAGACAACAGAAACATGAGAACTAATGGGCAGGTGTCCTTAAAGGTTACAGAGCCAGGGTTGCCATATTCAGCATGAGAGCCAAGATAAAACCAAAATTCTTTATCCAGGGCCAGCTATATGGCCTGGTGGTGGAGGCAGCTGGATCCAGCAGGGCCAACTGCGTGGTTCAAGTCCTGGACCCAGTGGACTGAGAAACAACCCTGGGCAAGTGTATGTGCATGCCAAATCTCCAAAGGCAGAAATGGAGGAGAAGGGATTGGGCATGGCCATTCCCCACGAGGAGGGCCCTTCTCTCCTCCCTCTTTCTCTGACTCTGTCTCTGACAATCACAAGCACATGCATTCTCTCAGGAAAAAAAAAAAAAAAACCTTATCATCTCTGAAGATGTTTGACAGCATTCTGCATCACATCAGAACTGGGAGACTACATGTGCTTCAGGGTATATGAGAAAGGCTTCAGGGCCAAAACAATGAAAGGGTATTGTACAGAGATGGCATAGTGGTTACACTGCAGGATTCCCACAAGGCTGATAGTGGTTCAAGTCCTGGACTGGGTGGCTTGAAAATCACACGGGGCCTGTGTGTGCATGTATCCAAGATCCCTGGAGGAGAATGGAGGAAAAGCAACTGTGGCATGGCCATGCCCCTGGGAGGCGATTTCTTACTTTCACTCTGACTACCTCTCTCTCTGGCAAGTGCACAAGCCCTCTAAAGGCAAAATCTCTTTTTATTTAAAAAATAAAAAAGTATCTATCTTTGGTATCATGTTGAGGCTGAAATATATACTTGGAACTCAGAAAATTTACTCTTTCTACTTCACAAAATGATCTGGACTAATGGACTGAGTCTTTCCAAGATTTGGTTTTTCTTTTTCTTTTTCTTTTTCTTTTTTTTAAAATAATCCCATTAGAAGCTTTTCCTGAAAACTTAGATTTGGCTCAGGCTTGCTCTGCTTCCAGTTTCTAAGTATATAATTATTCTTGTTGGAAACTTCAAGAGGCAAAAGAAGTCAGAATTAAGCTTTAAAAAATAATGCAGTTAAATATTTTAAAAGCTACCAGCCCAAACTACTCATAGCTCCATGTAGCCTAAGACATTAGCCAAATCTGAGAGGATATTTCATTTTAAAAGAGATCATATTTCTGGCCTTTGGTAAAAATGAGACATACTTTTATAATTTCTTTCTCATTAGCCCAGATACCTTCATCCTAGCATGAGCCATACATGACAGGTATGGAGCCCAACTTCTCTGGAATAGTGTTTGTTCCCAAGAGCTAAAAAATAACAAGTGGCATTGACTTTGGAGTATCAATCCAGAGAGAAAGTATGATTGATAAAAATCACAGCAAGAAGATCTCACTATTAATCAAAAGTGATATTTCACTCATTAAAGACAGATGATCCAAACACCAAGATTTGTGAGCAAAGACCCCAAAGTTAGCAGTCTGCTGCCTTCCCTGGGCTGACCAGGCTGAAAACCAGCTGGAGTTCGGCTGGTCATCACTTGGAGTCAGGACCACCGTCACAGGGACAGAGGTGAGTAAGGGGAGGGATGAGCAGCTGAAACCATCTACCTTATAGGGCTCACTGAAGAGCGAGTAACTGGAATTAAACGTGCCGTCATCTTGTTGAGTTTCCTGGTTCCTTCTTTCCCGTTCTTTCCTCCGTAACACATTCCTATCTGGCTCGTAGACGCTACATCCGGAAAAAGAACAGAACACAACCACGCGTGAAGCAATTAAAGGGGAAAGTATTGTACAACAGAACATGCGTGTCGTGCGGGAGTCTGGTTCATGGACAAATGGTGATGATAACGAGGACACGGGTCATACGAAGGCCTGTCTCCTCAGCAAGGGTGAGCTCATGCGTCTGGATAATCACATTCTTCAGGGAGAAAAAAAAAATCCTTATGCCAAGTTCCAACCAGAGCTAGACTTCTCTGCCTGGTGAGTGAAAAGAGGAACCTATCCAAGCCACTTTGACAGAAGACAGAAAGTAATTTAAAGGCAGATGGTAATTAGGGCAACGTGTAAATAGAAATTATGAGCATAATTTCCTCTTAAGACACAGCCTCTGAGTATTATATGGGAATGCTCCTGGTTTTTGTGGGGGCTTTTATTTTTTATTTTAATTTTTTTTTTGGATGACTGTGTTTCTGTAGTGATTCTTTCATTAACTAGCTCCCTAAAGAGCTGTTAAGACTCCATGCTGCAGTGGTTCTCACAGTTACGAGCCGTCCTCTGATCTCTGTTAATCAGTCAAGTCGTCAAACGACTACTGAATCAATTCCTCCTTCTGAAATATTTGACACTATCACTCCCCCTAACTATGAAAAATGCGCCAGGAGGAGGGGAGCAGGCAACGAAGGGAGCGAGCGGAAATTGAATTATGTTGTACCATCCAGGAACGCAGCCTTTTTGTTGAAGAAAATTAATATCTATTCTCCCAAAATGCAATTATGAAGTGGCCAGACACCAGACAGCTGGAAGAACTAAGGAAGAAATAAAATGTTCCTTCCCCCATAAGGAGAAAATAAAGGACTAATTCAACTAGTGATAAGGAAGCGACCTGGTTACTGATGGGAGGAAATGGATTTGGTGGGGAAAGACACCTGGCCTCGGTGTAGACGACAGCTTAAACACTGCCTGTCCGAGCACACAAACACGCCCCTCGAAATGAGTGCTGCCCTCATCTCCCGGCAGAAGCGTTTATTGGACTTGACCTTGCCACCATTCCCCCTTACAGACCTCTCGTTTGGTCTCCTGGGGAGGTGCCTGCGCGGTGATCCAGGGCGCCTCTCTGCTAACCGTGCGTCTCCTCTCAGAAGCCGCAGGGTAACAGGAAAGCCACTACCCGGTCCTCACCCCAGCCTCTTTGTTATTAAGCAGGGATGTTTTATGGCACTGTTAGAAGGTTTAAACGTGGAGATCATCTATAAAAAGGGCTTTGGACTGGCTTCAGGGACCATGAAATCCAATGCACTGCTACTAAAATATCATTAATAAATAGATAGTAGGTTCAAAGGAACTTAAGAAAATTGTGATTTTTTTTAGGTTAAATAGCTATTTTTAGTAAAAGAGTATTTGTGTCATGTCACTGTAGGGGACACAAATAAAATAACTGTAAGATAAATATTGCTTATCTGAGCTCTGCTTGTGTGGCTAGAATATGTTTTAAATTCACTATCTGAGGGGTGACGTGCAACATGCATGAAACAAGGCAGCTTCCACACCTAAGGCATTTCATTTAAATTTAAAATTAGGTAATGTTAAAATATCCAGAACATGGAGACTATCAGCATTTTAATTCATCCTCAGTACATTACCCAAAGTTACCGACTTTGGGAGTCAAACCAGTGACCTTCATATACTGGGAGGCTGTAGCCTCTGGAATTTTCTACCAACTAAGCGGCTTATGTCTCCAACACTGCAATCACTAAGCACTCTCTGAGGTGCCCACGGTGACAGTGACGAGCATAAAGGAGGCACAAGACAGAAATGACACTTGTTCAGAGAATAGGGCCTCAGGTTCAAAGGAGAGGGTATGACTGTCCTGGCCTGCTGTGGACATTTGTAATACGAAGCCCCAGCTTTCAAGAACATCTGTGGATTTCAAGTGGAGACTACTCTGATGACACTTGACTCATGCCATGGGTGAGCATAAAGGCGGCTTTAATCAACAGGAGAACTTCTAACTCTTGCGCCCATCTCGGCATCTGTGTGGCCTGCCCCTCTCCATGCGCACAGCCATCTGTGAAGCTGACTGAACTCCACACAGAGACTGCCCCAAGCACGCTTGCTTCCCTCTGCCAGGTCAAGCCAACCAACCACATGAGATGGGTGTGATGCACGCAGTGGGCGGATGTGACATGGAGCAGGCAGGCAGTATTTAGGATGATTTCTGTGCCTCTGAGAAGACCCCGTGCCCAAAATAATACCTCCTGCATCTGCTGGCTGATGACTGAAATTCCACAACTAGAGAGTCATTCCTCTGGTTTAAGATGTCTTCACCCCTGTAAGAAATATAAACACCACAAGAAGGGAAAATGCTTTCAGCCTGATCAGCCCTTATGTTAATGTGCACGAGCCTGTTGGTATTCTTCCCGACCACCAAGAGGAAGGGACACAAGAGGGTCCAAACAGGAGCCACAGTGGAAGGGACAGTGGTAGAGTGTGGCTGTGCAAAAAATAAAAGAAAAAAGAAACTCTTATTTTGTAACATGGCTTAGACATTTAAGAACCAAGTCCTAGGAATAACGATCAAAGTTGATCCAGCAGCTGGCAGGGCCCGTGAAGAGGATCACATGGTAATCTGGAGAGGGGCGGAGGAGGCTGCTCCTCTTTATACCTGCCTCAGTCTCCAACACCTTTAAGCTTGAAGATTCCTGAAAGCACTCCAAAATGCAGACCATCTGGACAAAATTCTTTGAGGTTCTGCCTGCACAGTCAGCCCATGGCTCCCAGCACTAGGAAGGTTCAGGTGCTCACAGGACCCCTGACACATTACCTGCTAACCAAAGCACACTGGCCATCTTTACACTCCCTGGGTCATGCCTCTGCCCCATCAGATGAGGCCATGTGAGCTCAAATAACAACCACCCCCTCTTTCTCAAAGGAGGGTAAAGGAACCTCAAAAAGAGAGGCAAAGCTTCTTCAATGTCTTCCCTGCAGTCCTTCTCTTTCCTTGAATGTAAACTCTGCAGTCTCCCCTGAACATCGAGTCTTCCTAAAGGTAACCCCCCCACGCCTTCTCCGTAGAGAGAGTCATGACCCCCCCACGTGTCATTTCAGGCCTAGGGAGCGAAAATGTCACCTGCTTAAAGCAAATGTCATTGTAAAAGAAAATCTGGACTTCCCACCCTCCACATCTCCATAAGTGTCTGATCTTTCACCTTTCCACCAACACTCACTGCTTTGACACATGAAGACAGAGCTTGACAGAGAGCCCACTGCTCCACTAATTACAGGTGGCAATCGTGCAGGGATGCGCAAGCCCGCTGAGGACCTTTCTCTTCATCTCTCACCATGAAAGCTCAGCCCTCCTCATGCCTGTGCTATTCGGGCAATATGAAGACCACACCATTTGCTTCAGAAGCAAAGATGTCTTTCCCTGACATGCTGAAAGTCAGGTCAGCTTCCCTGGGGATGGCTGACTTCTGTTTTAGAGAATTCCGATTCCTGGCATGGCAATATATACATTAAACTCAGTGAGCATCGTGTGTTACGAGCTATGTTCCTTTGTTGCTAGCAGATGGTAAGATCGTTATCATCTGTAAAGTTGTTCCTTATTTCCATAAAAATTACAGAAATCAAACGCCTCAAATGTATGTCACCAAATGTATTTATTTATTTTGCATGAAAGTGGAGGCAGACAACTGCTACTAAATTAGAATATTATTATTTATTGCAAATGAGAAACATTCCCAGAAAAATGAACCTTTTAACCAACTTTTATAAGACTTGTTTATTTTTTAAATTAAAAAAAGAAGAAAAAGAAAAAAAAAAAACCAGTAAGTGAAAAACGTAGTAAATACATTTCTGGTCATTTCCCATTCACTTTTAATCAATAAATGGAGGTACCTTGTAGGGATCAAGAAAAAGCCAACTATGGTGGTTCATTAGGAATAAAGGTCAACATGAAATTACCATCATTTCCAAAGTTAAGCTATTCTTGATCATATGGGAGCAGGATGAAGCTCAATAGTAATAAAATCTATGAGCCTGATGGCTTCTCCCCTCCACTAAACCCAAAAACATTTCACCTATATGTCCCTTAATTATCCTTATATGTCCCTTGGAGAAATAAGAGTATGGTGAATAATATTACTAGTTAACTTTTCTAAAGATCATAGAATTCAGGATAAGAGTTTGATTACCAAGGGACTGGCAGGGGGGGGGGGGGGTCATGGCCGACCATGGTTTGAGTCCCAGACCTGGTGGCTTGCTTTCTCACTTTCTCTCTCTCTCTCTCTCTCTCTCTCTCTCTGTCTCTCTCTCTGCCTTCCTCTTACAGAAAAAAGAAAGAAAGGGGAAAAAAAGAAAAAAGAAAGACTATAAAAAAGTTTGATAACCAAAACCATGTTGCCTAGAAGACACGGTACAGAAAGATGTGTGATGTCCAATGTACTTTACCTTGTCTACACACAAGCCAAGAGATGCCCACGCTTCCTACATCCTGACAGACAAGCCCAATGTGAACAGTGAATATGCATCCCATGGAGGTGAAGCGGGAGTAATGCCACTAAGTGGAAGTTATTTCCCATGCAGAAGGAACAAAGAGGAGAATTTTGAAATAAGGTCGTAGTTGTTATACTTTTTTTACAGTCACCCTGCCCCCCAACAATAAAAGAGAAAAATAAGTCTCTTTTGAAAGCCCTCCTACACAAAACATATCTACAATTACAGATGCTTTTGTAGAACAGAGGACAGATGAATGAATAAAGAAATGACAGATTCCAAAGTGAGCCAGCTAGGGTTGATGGCATTGCCATTTTCATCAAGTGCTCCCCATTCATCAGCCTGCTCCAATCTCTCCCTAGGCTGCCCTCATGGAGGAAGAAGTGCTGGAGCTCATACACTCTGTCCCTTCAGCTGAGCCCCAGCCTGACCCAGTTGGCCAAGAGATTCTGCCCCTCCCTCCCACGCTCACCTCTCTGCAGCCTGCTGAAATCTGAACACTGGCTCCAAAGGACTGCATTTCCCAAGGAGCAGACTTTCAGCCAATAGTATATAAAGCCAATCACATCCCTTGACTAGATGCAGCAAAGTGTTCCATTCTGGGGCTGGCAGGTGGCGTTATGGTTAGGAGCACTGGATTCCCATATGGCTGACTATGGTTTGAGTCCTAGACCTGGTAGCTTGCTTTCTTACTTCCCCCAACCCCTGTCCCTGTCTAGTCACATTAAAATAAATAAAGTTAAATAAAATAAATCTTTCTGTTTTAAAAAAGAATTATTTTATTTAATCTTATTTATTTTAATTTGCAGAGAGTGACAGAATGAGCAAGTGAGCAAGAAAGAGAGAGAAAAAAAGTGAGAAAGCAAGCCACCAGGTCCAGGACTCAAACTGTGTTCGGTCATGCGGGAGTCCAATACCCTTAACCACCACGCCACCTGCCAGCCCCATATAATAAAGTAATTCTTAACACACATACACAAAAGTATTCTATTCTGGGTTCAGCCAGGGATGTAGCAGTATAACCATACTCTGAAATGCTGGACTCACATGGCAAGGTCCTGGGTTCATATCCCAGGGTCTTCATATACAAATGGGACCTGCATGTGTGTGCCAATGACCATGACTGGCAGAGGCTAGGGATGGATCACAGTGCGAAGACTGGGCGGACGGGAGGCCAGTGCTCTTTCTTTCCCTCTATCGTGGAGAAATAAATCATTAAACTTTTTATTTATGAGTTTCATTCTTAGAAAAAATAAATCTGACCTACGGGTGTGCTTCTAGGTTTGGGTGTCTAAGAAATAAGTGAATTTGAGGGGAAGGACATGAACAACTTGCTCCTTTCTTTTGAGGAAAGTTACGCTATTTATGCTTTAAAATATTGTCCTCTCAAATAGCAGAAAAACAATTCTAATCAGTGCAAAAGCATTTCCTGAATGCCACTGTGTAAGAGGCCTAAACATGAAATTACCATCATTTCCAAAATTAGCCTATTCTTGATCATATGGGAACAGCATGAAACTAAACAAAAGTAAGACCTATGAGCCTGGGGAGACCATCAGGGCTGCAGTTGACCTCTCCTGCAGCTGAAAAATTGACGGTCCAGGGAGAAGGAAAGGGGGTCCTCTGATAGGCAGCAGGGGCGTCATGTGACAGGGAACTGGCAGAAGGAGCCCAGGGAAGCAGGATGGCTTCCTCTCAACTTTGAGCTGGGTCTTGAGTAAGGGGGGGCAGAGGGGAAGGAAAGAAAAAAGGAGAAATTAAAGGTTCAAAATACATAGATTATTACTAAGTAGCCCTCAGAGAGTATTTGGGGGAGGTGACCTTTGGCAAAAGGTCAAACCACTGTACTTTAACAAGATGGAATTCTACCTGTGCAGTTTCATTTCTTTGGTTCGCCCACTGCTAACCTGCCATTTCTCTCTCACTCTGAACAGATTCGTCTGATCCTTTCCTGAAAGCAGATTTGATTTGGATTAGATTCAAGGTAGATGCTAAGGGTAATACAGGAAATGCCCTCTCTGTCTTTGCAGTTTGCATCAGGCTGGCCCTGAGCAGCCTGGTCACAGAGACCCTCTTCTCAGACACTCCACATCTTGGGAAAGCAGCTATTAAGAACATGCACCCTGGGTAAGACTCAGGAGCCATGAGGGCCATCAGGAAAAGAGGCATGAGAGGCATAGGCAGGTGGCGTGGTGGTTAAAGGTGCTGGACTCCCACATGGCCAACCAGAGTTTGAGTCCTGGACCTGGTAGCTTGCTTTCTCACGTTCCCTCTCTCTTGCTCTGTCTCTCTCTCTCTAATCTAACTGAAAAATAATAATAGTAAATAAAGTTATATTAAAAAAAATTTTAAAAAAGAAAAGAGGCATGAGGTAGAGAATGGAAAAATATTCCTTAGAAACTCTCCTGCTGGGAGCAGCAACATTGGCAATTGTATACAATTAAGGAAATTTAATCAAACACTCCAAAATTAAAACAATTGTTTTAAATTTAATGAGTCTAATTAACATCTCTTGTTATTTATAAAGCAAATGATAAAGAAACATCAGTACTTTTTCTTAAATTAGGGAAGAGAAAGGCTGCTGAAGTAGGTGGTATCTGCGGATTCCTTCCCTTGTCTACAGACAGCGCTGGCGGAGGGGATGGTAGAAAACTGGTCGAGTGGCCAGGTGATGGCAGCAATTCGGACGGAGGAGTGCAGCTGGAGTGAGGCGGAGCTTGGTAAAGAGCCAAGAATTCTTCCTTCTCCCGGACCAATGGCTGTCTTTTATTATCATCTTTAAAATATCATATTATGGCCTTGGAACCTGTCCAGCTCGTTACTGTAGATGGGAAACTTTTAGTTCTTACTCATCAGCTTGTTGAACTGCTCTCTTTTCAGAGAATAGATACCATCCCAGAATTTTCTTATATCCATATTTTTTAAAAGATTTATTTATTTAATGCCATTTGTTGTTGTTATTATTATTGTTTTAACTTGACCAGACAGACCGAGAGAGGGAGAAAGGGAAAGTGAGCCACCATGTCTGGAACTTGAACCGCAGTCGGCCATATGAGAATCCAGAGCCTTTAACCACCATGCCAACTGCCGGCCCCTATATTCTTATTTTTAACTGTTGTGGCTTGCTGTATCAAAGTGGCCGAATTTTAAACAAGTTCAAAATCATTGCCCTTAAGGATCAACTCATCTTTCTGGGCTTTGGATACTGAACAAGCAACTCTTGGTCTCATTCGAACCCTCTTTTTTTTTTTTTTTCCGAACCCTCTTAATGTACTTTTCCCCCCAGAAATTTTGTATTTCAACTTTAAAAGACCCATTCTTTTGAGTAACATCGATGGGGAAATGAGCACACACAGACCTCATCTTATAATGGAAGCCGAGTGTAACACCCTTGATCCTGTTCTGTACATGAGTACAGAAAGAAAGGAACTGGCTACATTTGGCACTGTTTCCCCACCATTTGTCAACTGCAGTCTCTTTTTCTTTCTAAGGAGACTGAGCTCTACATTGGCATGACTGAAGTCCCTCCGTAGGGTCCTTCTGGGGTCCTTCACAATAACTGTGCATCCCTCAGAGTGATATCAACATGCTCTGGAATATTGACAGTTTGATCACTGAGAATGGTCTTCATCCTAGTAGGAAATGCAGCAGAAAGTGCCAAGAACTCTTTCAAGACTTTAATTATGTGATTGTGGTGTTGGTGGTGTGGTGGGGATGGCAGGGACAGTGATGGTGTGAGAGCAATGGTGGTGGTGATGGTAACAGGGTTGTAGTGATGATGGTAGCGGTGGTGGTTGTGATGGTGGTGGTGGTGGATTAGTGGTGGTGGTTGTGATGGTGATGGTGGTGGTGGTTGTGATGGTGGTGATGGTTGTGATGGTGGTGATGGGTGTGATGGCAGTGGTGGTTGTGGTGGTGGTGATGGTTGTGATGGCAGTGGTGGTTGTGATGGTGGTGTTGGTTGTGATGGCGGTGGTGGTGGTTGTGATGGCGATGTTAGGGGTTGTGATGGTGATGATGGTGGGGGTTGTGATGGCAATGATGGTGGTGGTGGTGGTGGTGGTTGTGATGGTGGTGCTGGATGTGATGGTGGTGGTGGTTGTGATGGTTGTGATAGCAATGGTGGTTGTGATGGCGGTGGTGGTGGTTGTAATGGCGATGGCAATGGTGGTTGTGATGGCGGTGGTGGTGGTTGTAATGGCGATGGTGGTAGTGGTTGTGATGGTGGTGATGGTTGTGATGGCGATGGGGGTGGTGGTTGTGATGCTGGTGGTGGTGGTGGTGGTTATGTTTAAAGACCTACTGAAGAATGAGACCTGCCAATATATGCATAAAATTAAATCCTAAAAACATTACTGTGCTCCTCTTCACTTACACTGGATTTTTGAATAAGGTAATTCAGTTCCCATGCCTATTTGCTCTATTTCCCCCCAATGGCATCACACCACTGCTTCCCTGTGGATTATTTCCACCATGGATTCTTCAGAAAGGTCAGTCCGACCTTTTACTTGTTTGTCTCTGACCACAAAGGTTATCTCGATCTTAATTCAATCTTGAAAATGTCTTCTTTAGCATTTACAGATCTGTGCCCTCCAACTAGCAACCTGTTCGATCAGAATAGGAATGAGATGGAGGGTGATGGTAGGTACCCTAATCTCTTCTCCTAAAACTTCTTTTGACATAACAGGGAGTCACAGTAACAGACACCCAGAAAGAAATTTAGCCACCTAAATTCACCCCACAGAAATATCCCAAATAATGTCTTGGATGTCTACCCATCTGGCCCATGCTAAACTTTGCTAGTAACAACTACTCTACATGATCTTTCCATAGATTACTTCATTTAATAATCTTTAAGATATTATCCTCATTTGCCAGTGAAGAAATAAGAAGCTCCAAGTTAACTAATTTATCCAAGTCCCAGTGAAGAGACTACATCACTTAGATTTGAAGCCAGGCAGTCTGGCACCAGAGACTGAATTCTTAGACTCTGCCTTGCTGTGACCCAGGGATCTGCTCCTTGACAAGCTGTGAAAAATGGTAGCCCATCCTTTGTTAATAAATGCTAGGCAGAAAGGTGTTAATTTTGAGATCATGACTATTTCAGTTCATTCTTCTAAGATCTGCAAAAGTCTTTCTGGTTGATAAACGTTAACTTGAAGAATCCTTCTAGGACATAAAATACAACCATTATAGCCAATTCAAACAAGACGGCATTAGCAATTAATACATACTACGGTTCTTGAATTTTTTTCAGGACCATCAGGTAAATTGATTCTCCCATCTTAGCAGTTTTTAAGGAATTAAGTACACAGAATTCTACACTTCGGAATTGCAGAATGTCATAGAAGTGCATTTGGTAATAGAACTAGCACACACAAGTTGCTGCTACAACCCAATATCAGATGCTTATCAGCTTTCTACTGATCATTTACTGAATCCCAGCTTCATTTCTAACACAGTGAAAATGATGACTGTTTCAAATCGGCCTTGTAAATATATTCCAGTGGGTTTTTAGAGTGATGACAGATAAATGACAGCTTTGCATTTCCAAGGGTTAAATGCTTTTCCTGGGGGATCCTACATCTTGGTGCTATGAGAACAAGTGTCAGGCTCTAATGGAATTGTCCCATGATAAATAAACCGCCGGGCTGTGTGACAAGCAGCTTTCAAAGAGGCTTTCCATATAGTATAAACAGCAGAAGTTAATTTGAGTTTCTTAACAGGACCTTTTTCTTTTACAATATAAAAGTGCCTTGGGATGAAGCAATTATTCTGATTTACCATCTTCTCCTTGGTAGAATATAAAGATGCAGCAGAGCCTCACAAAGGCAGTAACTTAACCAAATGAGACTCACTTGCAAAGTCCCTACTATGCTATTTCGAAGCCCTCGCTTCCCGGCAACAGCACAGCCGTCATCAATCACAGGTGTCCGCAATGAGCAGGATGCTCACGCCCAGGGCTTTTCGTGTTAAAGCTAATAAATTATTTTTCCACCACCAAATGCTCGGTTAAATTTCATTTTCACTTTACAGCATCAGTCTCGAAACTTCAGCTGCTAGGACTCTGAAAGCCATGCCCAGGGTCTGTCATCCTCTAAAGCATGCCTGGGTTTTAACCAGGAGCCCCTCTATGCAATCTGCTGCCGTCACTCAGGGTCACAGGTTGGCATCTTAAGTCAGAGGGCAGAAGGGTGGCCGAGGGGTCGCCTCAGCTGACATGTCATGGAGGTCAGGCTCCTGGACTCAGGAAGCCCTAATACCCTGAACATCAGCCATGAAAGAACGGCTCATGCTCTTCCCAAATTCAACCCCCCAAACTTCTTTTCCTCCCAGAACCACTAACAAGACATGCACTGACCAGCTGCAGTGGAATTTCTGAATAGGAGCGGTCATGAGCTGGAGGCACTGCTATCTACTGAGCTGGATTAAATTACCTGCGAGCTACGGAACTAGCCGCAGGTGAGAGTGACAGCAGCCAGAGCCAGCGTTACAGCAAGGTAGAATGAAAAGGCTATCCACGGCCTTGGATATCTTTCTGTCTAATCAACCTAACAGGCTGGCCAATTACAGTTGCCCATGTAGACAATGTGTGTGCGAACCACAAGAACAAACTTAGCAATTTCCCTGAGAGGGAAAATGATCCTGTTTTGAGGATGAGAAAGACCCATTTTAGGACAGCACCGATTACCAGTTTATCTGTAAGTCTGGGGGTTTGGGGATCAAAAGGACAAGGAAGAGAGAAACAAGACAATAAAAATCCTCCATACCCAAAAGAGAACACAGAACATTCCTTGAGATGAGGAACTTCTGAAGTCACCAAGAGAGGGGATCAGGCGATGGGGGTAAGAAGGGCACTGCCAGGGGCAGGGGCTCCCTCACTTCCTACTCACCTGCCACCTCAGCTTCCCACCTTCTCTCTGCCTCTCGGGGAAAATCTTTCTCTCCCAGGCTGGAGCTCCCACCCAGGCTCTGAAGCCCACCCATCATGGAGGCCACTTGCTCCCATCTGTGCCATGTTTCGGTCTCACTGATTTTTCTCATCAGTGAATGACCTAGCTCAAGGTCCCCATCGTTAATAGAGAAAACATGTTCTCCCTGATGCTCTGATTGCTGCTGCTCCTGTCAGCCACAGCTCTCTGCAGTTATCTACACTCGCTGCCTCTCTCCAACCCCTAGTGTCCCTACCCATGTGACCTGGTCCTGCTGTCTCAGCCCAATATCAGCTCTCAACCCTCAGCTCTCTACCCTATGGCTCTCTGCTGTGCCTTGAGCATGTCTGCTCTGACCTGCCCACCTCCTGCTCCTGAAGGTCTTAGTAAGGACGCTTCCTCGCAGGGACCTTCCCAGTACTCCACTAGACCCCAGGGCCTCCGTCTGCCCACTTAGAGCCCTACACTCTCCATCTCTATAAAAACCTCTTCAGCTAAGTCTGAATCTTCCATTGAAATGGTAGTCCTGTAAGAGGAAGGTCTGTGTCTACTTATTATTAAACTGCACCCTCAGACTCTATAAGAATGCATGGCACTGAGAAGAGTAGGCACTGAAAAAGGCCATTTAAAAATACATACTAAACAAGTATTTCATTTTTTCCCCCGCAAAATTTAGCCCATACACGTATCACAATTTGAACGAATATAACTTAAACCCATTCAGATCCTGGCTCCTAAGATGTTCTTTATGCTTATAGAATTTAATAATAATGAGAATCACAATAAAAGTAGTATTTAGCAGCTGCCTGGTGGTGCTGGAGCGCTTGTAAAGGAAGTTTATGCTCATTCTCTTTATTTATCCCTCTCGACACACCTGCCACGTAGCCCTTATTTATTCAAAATGTAAAATTTTAATAAATGAGCATGTAAATAGAAAAATAAGATCCATGTGCCATAAACATTATTATGCTCCTTTTACAAAGGCTCATCACCAATTAAAAAAAAAAAATGGGGCTTAAAAAAAGTAAATCATTTGCCAAAGTCCTATAGTAACTGCTGCAATCCTGGTTCCAAGAAAACTGTGGGCCAGCCTATGGCCTGGCAGTTAGGGGGCTGCAACCCACAGAGCTGACAAGGCTGGAGCCCCTGACCTGGGGCCTGGGGACACAGCAGGCATGTGTGCAGCCTGCCCAAAATCCCGAGAGGGAGAAACGCAGGGATTGAGGCACGACCGACCCTCCTGGGAGGTGCTTTCTCCCTTTACTTGTTTCTCTCTGTCTCCCCCTCCAGTGAGCATGTGTATGCTCTGGCTTTTTTTTTTTTAATGTTTTTAAATATACACTTAAGTTCAAACAGTATTTCTTTAGTACTTAACTATACACAAGGGGTCAGCCACACATGAGGAAACGGCCACAACCCTCACTGCCACGCGGGTACAGTGAGAGGTACTTCTCTAACTCTGTATCTCTGCTCGCAGTTAAGTTTGACTCAGAGGAAGACATTAAGAATTATGAATTATTTGAACTCTACAGTTCTGTAATTCACTGTGCCAGTGACATTAAATATGATGAATTCTAAATACCCACTGTTGGAAAACCAAGGGGTCTTCCTGTGACTGATGTATCATTCACGAGTTCCTGATTTCAATCAGACATGTAATCTATCATAAAAACATTTTATCTGATCCTTAGAACATTAGGGATATTATATATTATGTGGCTGCACACACATGACGGTAATTATCACAATCCTTTAAGAAAAGTTGCAGAGAGAGTGTTAAGTCTAGCATGTTTGCTTCATGTTACCTTCAAAAATGTCTGCACTCCCTCCTCCTTTTCCTCTCCTCCCCACCCCTTATTCTTTCTGCCAGTTTGATGTTTCCCAAACACACCCACAGACAACAGAGTAAACCCCAGGTCGCAGCTCTAGGACATTAAGATTGTTCGCGCAGGAGGTTCATGAGAAGTGTGGTCCCAGAACGAGAACAAGGCCACTCTCTGAAAGCATGCACAGAGGAAGGGGCTGGTGGAGGGAACCCCAAGACATGCTCAGCCTCACCTGGCTCTTGCTTTGCTCCATTTCTTACTCCGCTTTCTGCCTCAGTCCTGAAGCCACCCCGCCAAACCAGCTGGATCTTTTAACAGAATGTCACCTGGGTTGGGAATATGTTTGTCTCGAACTCTAGGAACCAATCTACCTTAACAAGTGCTAACGGGGGGAGGTGGCAACCAGCTTGTTATACAGCATGGACAAGGAGAGATGGGAAATAAGAGGGCATCAGTCTTAAAGAAACGGTCTATGGGCCAGCAGGTGGCATGGTGGTTAAGGCACTAGACTCCCATGTGGCCCACCACGATTTGTGTCCTAGACCCAGCGACTTGAAACTCATGCCAGATGCGTGTGCACACTTGCCCAAGATCCCGTAAGGAGAATGGAGAAGGGACTGCAATGCGGCCATTCCCCCTAGGTGTTGATTTCTCACTTACCCTCTCACTCCCTCTCTCTGCCTCTCTCCTGCAAGCACACATGCCCCATGGCAAAAAATTTTAAAAAAAGAAATAGGCTAGTTAGCCAGACTTCTACAAAGATAAATGTATTAATATCAAGAAGGCTCTTCTTCCTCAAAATGCTGTACATAGAACAATAGACTCAGGTAATCTGTGCCACGGAGTGGCACATGATACCAGGAGAGGTGGAGGAAGAGACATCTCCTTTCATTTCTTGCCTTTGATCTCTGCCAGCTCAAAATCGATCAGCCTTTTACTGACTTAGCAGGAGAATTCCCTTCTGGCAGTTTCCATATTGGTTTTCCTGCTTTCTGGGCCTAGGCCTGCCTTCTGTGGGACTTCAGAGTCCATGCTTCTCATGATTGGCTGAGACAATGCCTGCCTCACAACAGGCAATCAATTACCATTTGTTGACTGGATGAATGAATGAATCCCCAGCCTTCTTTTCCACCGGCCTCCTGCTTTCATTGAGTCAGTAAGGACAAACAATGCTGAGAGGAGACCTGTCTGGTCTTCACAGGATAGTAAAGCACATGCCATGATAAAGGCCTTTCAGGTACAGTTGACGGCAGTAGCCTCAAGAAGTTGACAAAGCTGTTTTACCAAACAGTATTTTTTATGACTGCTGCAAAGAAACATGGGCCCAAATGAGGACACCCAGCTGAGGTCCAGACACAGACCAGCCTGCAGTCACTCTGAGTCTTCAACCTTCATCTCAAGCAGGGATGATAAAATCGATCCACACATTCGTGATGGTTCTAAGAAGCAAATGAGGTAACTGACATTGAATGTTTAAAGTACTGAAGTGCCCTGCTAAGGTGAAATATCATTAACACTTGGATGAAAA